ACACCCCTATCATGCGAAGATTCTGGTGAGTGGTGACGGCAGCGACGATCAACGGCCAATCGAAGCTGGAATCTTGGGGCTTTTGATGTGTAGGTGCCGCGACTCTGATGATGGTGCCAAGGAGTTCCATCGGCGCCAGAAATGCTGGAATCAACAAAAGAACTCTGACGGTCGCGTGAAGTTTGAAGTTTAGGTGGACGGCGAGCGACGATGGCTAGACGACGGCCACTGAAAGGCAGGGTTTTTGTAGTGGAGATGCCGTCAAGTCAAGGCGGTGATTTCTCCCTCGATCGGTGCCGGAATCTGACGGGATTCAACCGGGATTGGACCGCGATTCGGCACTATTCTGGCGGTCCAAACGCGGTCCAATCCGGTTTAAATGCAATTAGCGGGTTTTTAACGTATTCCGGACCGGAAATGCCGGGTCACCGGTCTAACCGGTCCGACCAGACGGTCCGGTCCTGTTTTCAGAACCTGACTCCAACTAATAGACACTCAGTGACGTCATACGATGATAAGTAACACATGGTTCACTATTCGAGTTCCCTCATAAGTTTCTAAATGAGTAAATTGTTATTGTTTTTAGTTTTTCAGAAATGGTAAGGTTCGAAAGAGGTTCCAGTTTCAAACTTGCATCTAATTATCTGTTTAAAAAAACAGAAAAGGACAAGAACTGAGAAGTGAAACAAAGAAACTAGAAACATGGAGAAAACATACTAAAGACTAAATATTATTGAACGTTTAATTGAATGTTGTTTTCTCTAGTTTTCTTTTGTCACTAGAAGAAAGGAGATAATTGGGTGAAGAAGATAGCTAGAATAATGGTGGAGAGAGTTGGGTGATGAAGAAGGGTCAGACAAAACGCGAATTCTTCAAGTGGTAACGTGACTACTTTGGGTTGTTAATAACAAAAAAATAAAATAAAACTAAAAAATCCTGGCCGTTCAATTTATTAGTGGCCACATGTCAAAAGGAAAAGTTCAGGTGAGGAAAGGATCCTTATCCTAATTAATGTACTTTACTTTGGTATATATGAGACGAAAAGGTACATGATTGATGCATTGATTGTGTGTTTAAATTGTCAAATAGAAAAAGCTTTATAAGCTTTTGAAAAATTAACCTGATTATAGTCTAGTCAACTGAACCTTGGTTCTGCTAATGCTAGTTGACCCCATTTATGGCTCCATAAACAATGCCCCATAAAGATTAAGATATAAGTATAAAAGGCAAACAACCCTTTAATATCTACATCGCAATTTTCATATATAACCATGGAGATCTTTTTAAACAAGTACTATAATTTTCGTCAACTTCATGAAATTTCCGCGTGAGACAGGTGAGAAAGTTTTTCACCATTTCAGAATGAATAAGGATTCTCTCCTTATTTAAGCTTCTTGAACTTTTAAGGATTTGATCTCACAACGCAGGTGCATTTTCGCTTATTTATGGTTCAAATTTAACTGCCTATTATATTTATTATAATGCAAATATCAATCTTAAGCTTTTATTTATTCAAGTAGAAACTCATATCAAGAGAGGATCTATCAAGTGCATTGTGAGAGAAAGAGCTATGGACTTCAAAAACTTCAAGGCCTCATTTTGTAATAGCTAGGAGATTGGCGGACTCATGGGGCCTTCCAATGGCTATCTTCAAGTCCTCCTTTGCTCCCGATCTAATCGTTTGATGCTTCCTGACTCCAGACAATCCGTGGATGAAGGTGAGTTGTTTGGGTTGATTTCTTTTTTTTCCTTGTTATTTCCTTTTTTGTTTTGCTTGCTCTGATCCCAACCCAGGGTTTGTCCTGAGGTAGGATTGTTTTGTGTTGGGTTTTCCTCTTTTGTCTCCTATCTTGTTTATATGATTAAATAGACCAACAAGAGGGGATTTGTTTCCCTTTCTTTTGGTTTATCTTTGGTTCCCTAACCCAGGTCATGTCCTGAGGTAGGAAAGGGGGTTGTTTTTTTTCTTTCTTTAGTCTTGTATATGCTAATTGTTTTTGCTTCTAATCCAGGGCATATCCTAGGGTTGGAAGAGGAGAGTGTTTGTCTTCCCTTGTTTTTGGTTCCTTCGTCTTGTATAGGCTAATTGATTTTTTTTTTGTCATAACCCAAGACTTGTCCTGAGGTAGGGCGGCCACTTTTATAAGCCTCCCTATACATTCTTCCTTTTTTCTAACAGCAATGCTAGTCTTACAAAGAAACCTACAAAAGAGGTATACGAAGACAACCTCCACCCTTCATCTTCATCATTTCTCTCTCTCTCTTTCTCTTTTTCCGTTTTTTTTTTTTGACTTTGTAAGCTTCTTTGTAGGCTTATTTGTAAGGATAGACTTATTCTTTTTCTAATGCATACTTACATACCTAGAGAGAGAGAGAGAGAGAGAGAGAGATTTTGGTTAAAAATTGGGGCAATGCAATCACACGATTAATAGCATTAATTAGTGCTTAAGCTAAAGACATCAATTGACTCAATTCTCACTCATTTTAGTTTACAACCTTTTAAAATTTAGTGGTCAAGGGTAAAATTAATGTCCTAGGGGATGTGTCGTTCTTTTTTAGATTTTAAAAAGTTGAAACACGTGAAATTCAAAATAATGAACTTCCTCCCACTGTTTTAAAACCTGGGCCGGACCGGTCGGTCTAACCGGTTCTATTAGGACCCGATTGTGTGTCCGGTCCGGATTAATATAAAACCCGTTTAAACTAAAAAAGCTGCTTTAACTTGCCATTAGACCGGGTGAACAATTTAAACCACCCGATCCAACCGGACTGCCTCATAAATCGATTCACTATTTCACAAGTAAAAAAAGCCCTAAATCTATTCATTTTTCAGTTTCTCTAGGCAGCCACTCTTTGAAATTCGCAGCCACTCTTTGAAATCACCCTTCAATCTCAATCAACTCCACTCTCTGAAGTCTGAAATCGCAACCATTGTCTCAATCACAACTCCACTCTCTAAAATTGATGACACCTCCCTCCCTTGCTCGATGACGCCTCCCTCCTTGCTCGATAATGACGATGCCTCCCTCCTTGCTCGACGACGATGATGACACCTCCCTCCTTGCTCGACGATGATGACGATGCCTCCCTCCCTCGTTGGACATCGATGACGATGACAATTAAAGGTACATCTGGTTTATTTGATTCTCTTTTTCTGGATTCGAAAGTATTATTTTGATTATTTGATTTGAAGTTTTGTTTTGATTATAATGCTTGGTTTATTTGATTAGAAGTTGATTTTTTCTTTTTTTGGCAGAACCCTCCAAATTTGGAAGTTTTGTTTTGATTATTTGATTGGAAGTTACATAATTATTTTACTCGAATCTGGAAGATAATTTGAAGGTACTCAGATTATTTGTGTTTTCTCCCTCTGTTTGAATAACCCAGATTTGCCCAAACCTAGGAATAAAGAGATATAATGCTTAAATTAAAAGTTAAGATGCCTTTTGGAATAGCATTCTATTTCTGCATTTCAAGCATGTTGTAATCTACAAAAGTTTTTGTCAATTATAAATTTTTGGTGAGCTATAACATATTATATTGTATGTTGAGATTGTTGTTAAATCATGTTTGGATTGTTATTGAATTTGAATTATGTTGGTGCTGTAATTAAGCTATTATTGAAAATTTGAAACTTGTTAAAAAATAAAAAATCTGGATTTTTTTGGAAGTGCTGACGTCAGCATGATGACGTCATCGGTCCAACCAACCGGTCCAACCGATTGGATCGGTCGACCCATGACCCGGGCAACAGAACGGGTTGTCCTCTAGTCCGGGTTTTAAAACAATGCTTCCTCCTAGTTTCCCCTTACCTCCTTGAATACCTCATAAACCATATTCTAACACAAAGAACATTGTAGAATACTTATTTTTGTCAAACTTATGACTTGTGTATGCACAACAGTTATGTGTGCGCACAGGTTGCCAGAATTATGTTTTGGCTTGTTTCATATTGAGTGTGTGTGCACAACAGTTTGTGCTTGCACACTCGCTTTCAGATATTTGCAACCTAATACAATTTGCATTTATGATAAAGTAGCAAAGATATTTATTTATCTTTGTTGCTACCTTTTTAGGACCTTTTACAAGTGTCAATCTATCAATATGTGATCCTAGGGAATAAAATTGTTTTTTCTCGATTTGTTTATGGTCCAAACCAAAAGAAGTAATTCTTTCCTTATTTGGAAAAACATGGGTCAGCCAACAAGACTTGTTGGCTAACGTGGCACAAATTGTTGAGCAAGAAACCCTCTTTATATAATATCATTTTTTACGTTTATGAATCTAACCTTTTGACATTTTTATTCTTCTTTGTACTCTGAAATTTCTTTAGAGTATTTTTCTCTTCAAAGGTTCATTTCACTTGTGCCAAACCTTTACCTTACTTGTTTGAATGGTTGTTGGAACGTGGTTCCTTTGCTGATGCTGGAGTGTGGCATTGGTGCTTGAAGCTGGGGTGGTTCTCAAGCTGTTCTCGGGCATGATCCCGGTGTGGAGAAGATCCAAGGAGCAACTACATGTTAAAGATTCAGAGTGTGGTGCTAAATATAAAATTGAACAATGAGTTCTTTTACTGTATCTTAGATCAACTTTGAACATTGTCTTGTCATATGTTTTTGACTTAGTGGATTGCTTCGATGTGGACAAGGTCCCATGTAGGCTAAAAGTGGGTTTTAGCCGAACTATGTATATGAATGTGTTCTTTACTTTATGCTTTTGTGGATGATATGTACAAATCAGAAATCTTCTAAACAACTTGGCAAAAGTATTCTGCTGCACTTAAAAATTGGATAACCTAACACCAAAGTGAGTTAACCAACTCTAACAAACATTATCAACATCATCAACATCCAAAATAAAAACAATAACAAATACCAAAAACAAAACATAAAAAATAAAAAACAATAACAAAAACCAAAAGTCAAATAAATATTCTGAGTCATAAATATCCATTGACACAATAATGACAAATCTTACATCCATGACATGTAATACATGTGGTTCCTTTTAAGTGGAGTTTCCTAATCGTCACTAGGAGATGGCGCCGGCGCGGGTGAGTCAGCTGGGCCTGAGGCAGCTAAGCTTCTGGCAACTAAACCTCTGGCTGCAAAAGCTAAAAGAAAAAAAAGAAATATTTAATAAATTGAAGTAAATATTAAGCATCATTTGTGAATTTCAGGAATTAACTGTTCAAAAACTTTTCTAATATGCGATGTTATTGACGGTATATTTATTTACGGGATTTGTCCGGAGTCTGGTAACTCAAATGAGGTGTTTAAAATCTTACTCTGTTATTTTTATCGTAACATGAAATTTGGACTAAACCTAAGTGTAGAGTGTTCTTATTTGAGCCCCATCAAAATTCTTTCTAAGTCCTATATTAAGTTAAATAGTTTGACAAAATTATAAAATAAAACCTTACTCCAAATCCAGCTAATTGCATTTAACACATCACGTGATAGTAGAAGAAAATTAAGTCTTTTGAGTTTTTTGTTTGTTAGACTCTATAAACCAGTTTTAATAACCTTAATCATAATCCTTTTTTTTTTTTTTTCCTTTTTCATTCACATCTAGTCTATTAATAACCAGTTTCTCTTATACTTTAATTTTGGAAAAGTTTAAATAGGAGTATGGATCATTTGCATCAATTAATTAATTATGATAATGCAATATTTACTCTAACCACTGCAATTTTTATTCTTGTTTTAGACAAAGTTTTGTTAATGATAGGATCCAGTATTTTCTTAGAATTCATTAAAACTTAGAATTCAATATTATTTAGAACTTCATTAAAGATTAGATTGGAAATATAAAGGTTGTTTTTGTAATATAATTTAATTTAACGATTTTTATGTAATATGGGGCTAAAAAGAAATTTCGTAGACTCAAATAACACCACTCATTAGTGTAAGGGCTCTGATATGGGTAGACCCAAAAAAAAGTTTTTGTTTTTAAATTGAATAATTAACAAAGTCCTATAAAATGATATGACAAAATAAAATTAGTTCAGTGAATATACAAAATCAAATTCATTAATTGATATGTCATTTAAAGGTTAATACCAGAATATCTCCTCTTTTTAGTCGTCATCTTCAGTCAATCAAAAGATATTATTTTGAATGTGGGTCTTGATTTGATTTGAGATTTGACTTAAATCCTACATTAACTAACTCCCATTGTCAAAACTAGAAAATGTACATGAAAATCTTTATGAATATCAGACTGAACTAGAGCCTAAATCATCAAATTTGATTGAGATTAAGGTAATGGTTACTCACTGGTGCACAGGCTGATACTAGAGTCGATGCCACATTCATTAATGAGCCATGGAGCTTGATCCGCGGGGATGGTGGTGGCGAAGAGAGTGCAGATGCATTCAAAATCATCTTCCATTCCCTCTCTTAAATTGTCACAGCACGCGGCGGGCGGTTGGTTATCTGAGGTGACATTATTGTCGCAGGGTTTCAGTTTTGATGCGCATGATGGAGTTCGTGCCTCTGTTGAGCCAAACATAACTACAAGAAGAACCGCCATGGTCATAATGAGAGACTTAATGTTGAGAACAGCCATGGTAATTATTTCTCTCTCTGGTTTTTTTGGGATAAGAAAATATGAAGTACAGTGGAGGTGGTGGTTTTCATCTATAAGAATTAACCTTCTTTTGAATTCCCCTACGTGGGTCTCATGTTCATTTATAAAATATACATGTGTCACAATATTTCGTAAAACTCAAGAGAGCTTTAATCATAAGAGTTTAAAGCTTGACAAAACTAAGATCAAGAAATGATCGTAATTTGATATAAATATGTTGTCATTTACGTCAACACCAGGGTCGCATTAAATTAAAGATATAAGTGCTAGCTATATATACTGAGCTGGCATTTTTCAAATTATAATAGATTTGGGGTATTAAAGCTAGCATTTCCACCCTCAATGCAATATTCCAGACCACTAGCATCAAAACCAATCTCATATTTTTTTTCTTCGGATTTAATCACGTGAAAGACACAAAAACTTATTTTTAGAGTGCCTCGTGATTTGGTGACTAGCAAAGAATCTCAGAAATGAGAATGTGATTAACGTGGTTACTTTAATATATATATATAGTAGCGATCATTTCCTGCCTAGATTTTCATGCTTCCAGTTGACTTGTTGTATTTAAATTACCTAGGAAGATCCAATTCCAAGGCCAGATTTTGATTTCTGATTATAATATACCCATGGCTTCTTAACATCATTTAAACAACCACAATTTCAACGAATTCAACTGAATACAAAACAATCCAATAGAACATTTAATTAATCTCAATAAACCAACAAATTCAAATAAAAACCCTAAACTACTTCACCATGGTGAGTCTACTCGAGTTTGTAGTTGATACAGTTGTCTACTTCTCCTGCAAGTCTCATGAGGTGATAATGGGAGTTTTTACAACTCAATCTCATCAGATCAACTTGAAATCAATAAGGTGGAGTGTTTTAGATCCTTTGATGGAGTATGATATTCTTCAATGAAACTATTTCATATTAAGAATATTACCGGAAATCTTAATGTTCTTGTTCGAGTTTAAAGTTAAGTTGTTGTAGTGATGAACCACACGGGGTTCAACTGTTAAATAACTGATGAATGATTATCGGAAAATTTATAAACAATTAGGGAATAGTCTCTATCTTTAACGTGTGTTCTAACGTACACAAAAGACACGATCCTTGCACTAATTATATCTTCAAATCCAAAACAAAAACGAAAACAAATTACGAATCAAGTATCCATTCACACAATAATACCAAATCTTTCACAGCTTGTAATTCAATATCCATGACATGCAATACATGTGGTTCCTTTAGGTGGAGTTAATTATGAAAGTAAATTTTGTTGAAGCGAGGTAGTAAATATATGGGTAACATTACGTATATATAAACTATGTGTGCAGACTATTGTGTATAAACTGATACATTATTCTTTTAATGTTATACCATTCATTTTATGAACATTTCAAAACTAACTTTTTTATATGTATTGTTGATGCAGGATTTTGCATCAAACACAGAATTCACTAAAAAAACCCTTGTAGGGTTTACTTCTTGTTGACTGATGATATGGACGGACGCTAGAATAGTATTTGCTAGTGTTAATACTCCAATGCTCAAGTCAGCATAGTATTTGAGACCAAAAAAAGTAGTAAATTCAGGGCATTATAAATTGACGAAAATAAGTAGCATTTGAGACGAAAATTAACTTTTTAATGTTATATCATTCATTAACTTTTTTTTTTCTTTTTTCTTTTTTCATTTTGGGAGATTCCGAATTTTGGAAGGAATTCGGGTTTTTTTTTTTTTTTCCTTTTTCATTCACATCTAGTCTATTAATAACCAGTTTCTCTTATACTTTAATTTTGGAAAAGTTTAAATAGGAGTATGGATCATTTGCATCAATTAATTAATTATGATAATGCAATATTTACTCTAACCACTGCAATTTTTATTCTTGTTTTAGACAAAGTTTTGTTAATGATAGGATCCAGTATTTTCTTAGAATTCATTAAAACTTAGAATTCAATATTATTTAGAACTTCATTAAAGATTAGATTGGAAATATAAAGGTTGTTTTTGTAATATAATTTAATTTAACGATTTTTATGTAATATGGGGCTAAAAAGAAATTTCGTAGACTCAAATAACACCACTCATTAGTGTAAGGGCTCTGATATGGGTAGACCCAAAAAAAAGTTTTTGTTTTTAAATTGAATAATTAACAAAGTCCTATAAAATGATATGACAAAATAAAATTAGTTCAGTGAATATACAAAATCAAATTCATTAATTGATATGTCATTTAAAGGTTAATACCAGAATATCTCCTCTTTTTAGTCGTCATCTTCAGTCAATCAAAAGATATTATTTTGAATGTGGGTCTTGATTTGATTTGAGATTTGACTTAAATCCTACATTAACTAACTCCCATTGTCAAAACTAGAAAATGTACATGAAAATCTTTATGAATATCAGACTGAACTAGAGCCTAAATCATCAAATTTGATTGAGATTAAGGTAATGGTTACTCACTGGTGCACAGGCTGATACTAGAGTCGATGCCACATTCATTAATGAGCCATGGAGCTTGATCCGCGGGGATGGTGGTGGCGAAGAGAGTGCAGATGCATTCAAAATCATCTTCCATTCCCTCTCTTAAATTGTCACAGCACGCGGCGGGCGGTTGGTTATCTGAGGTGACATTATTGTCGCAGGGTTTCAGTTTTGATGCGCATGATGGAGTTCGTGCCTCTGTTGAGCCAAACATAACTACAAGAAGAACCGCCATGGTCATAATGAGAGACTTAATGTTGAGAACAGCCATGGTAATTATTTCTCTCTCTGGTTTTTTTGGGATAAGAAAATATGAAGTACAGTGGAGGTGGTGGTTTTCATCTATAAGAATTAACCTTCTTTTGAATTCCCCTACGTGGGTCTCATGTTCATTTATAAAATATACATGTGTCACAATATTTCGTAAAACTCAAGAGAGCTTTAATCATAAGAGTTTAAAGCTTGACAAAACTAAGATCAAGAAATGATCGTAATTTGATATAAATATGTTGTCATTTACGTCAACACCAGGGTCGCATTAAATTAAAGATATAAGTGCTAGCTATATATACTGAGCTGGCATTTTTCAAATTATAATAGATTTGGGGTATTAAAGCTAGCATTTCCACCCTCAATGCAATATTCCAGACCACTAGCATCAAAACCAATCTCATATTTTTTTTCTTCGGATTTAATCACGTGAAAGACACAAAAACTTATTTTTAGAGTGCCTCGTGATTTGGTGACTAGCAAAGAATCTCAGAAATGAGAATGTGATTAACGTGGTTACTTTAATATATATATATAGTAGCGATCATTTCCTGCCTAGATTTTCATGCTTCCAGTTGACTTGTTGTATTTAAATTACCTAGGAAGATCCAATTCCAAGGCCAGATTTTGATTTCTGATTATAATATACCCATGGCTTCTTAACATCATTTAAACAACCACAATTTCAACGAATTCAACTGAATACAAAACAATCCAATAGAACATTTAATTAATCTCAATAAACCAACAAATTCAAATAAAAACCCTAAACTACTTCACCATGGTGAGTCTACTCGAGTTTGTAGTTGATACAGTTGTCTACTTCTCCTGCAAGTCTCATGAGGTGATAATGGGAGTTTTTACAACTCAATCTCATCAGATCAACTTGAAATCAATAAGGTGGAGTGTTTTAGATCCTTTGATGGAGTATGATATTCTTCAATGAAACTATTTCATATTAAGAATATTACCGGAAATCTTAATGTTCTTGTTCGAGTTTAAAGTTAAGTTGTTGTAGTGATGAACCACACGGGGTTCAACTGTTAAATAACTGATGAATGATTATCGGAAAATTTATAAACAATTAGGGAATAGTCTCTATCTTTAACGTGTGTTCTAACGTACACAAAAGACACGATCCTTGCACTAATTATATCTTCAAATCCAAAACAAAAACGAAAACAAATTACGAATCAAGTATCCATTCACACAATAATACCAAATCTTTCACAGCTTGTAATTCAATATCCATGACATGCAATACATGTGGTTCCTTTAGGTGGAGTTAATTATGAAAGTAAATTTTGTTGAAGCGAGGTAGTAAATATATGGGTAACATTACGTATATATAAACTATGTGTGCAGACTATTGTGTATAAACTGATACATTATTCTTTTAATGTTATACCATTCATTTTATGAACATTTCAAAACTAACTTTTTTATATGTATTGTTGATGCAGGATTTTGCATCAAACACAGAATTCACTAAAAAAACCCTTGTAGGGTTTACTTCTTGTTGACTGATGATATGGACGGACGCTAGAATAGTATTTGCTAGTGTTAATACTCCAATGCTCAAGTCAGCATAGTATTTGAGACCAAAAAAAGTAGTAAATTCAGGGCATTATAAATTGACGAAAATAAGTAGCATTTGAGACGAAAATTAACTTTTTAATGTTATATCATTCATTAACTTTTTTTTTTCTTTTTTCTTTTTTCATTTTGGGAGATTCCGAATTTTGGAAGGAATTCGGAGTGTCATAAATTGGAAATATATGGGGTGTATCTGCTGGATTTCAAACCTACAGGGATTGATGTGTAATTTCACAAGGGTATGTTTGTTAAGTTTCATACTAGAGTTTTATGCTAACGTCACCAACCCGAGCAATCGGTTGGACTGCCCAACCTGGGAATCGCCCTTTGATCGTGTCAAGTCTTGGGTCTGGTTTAAAAACATTGTATAAAAGTAGTACATTTAAAATACAATGTAAAATTTCAAAAACAATATAATATACTTTTCATATATGAAAACTTGTGGATTTATACGATGAACAAAAGTACGTCAATGGGCATGTCATTGAAACATTCTAGAGAATAATACGAAATCAAACAAGTAAACTATCACAAATATCAAACTAGTAAAGAGAAAGAAAACACGTGCAACTTACCCTATTTCACCCAAAA